AGGTGACAGAGACACTAAATGAGTATTTTCCATCAGTGTTTACTGTGCAGAAGGATATGGAAGATGGAGAACGTGGGGGAAATAAATAGTGACATCTTGAAAAATGTCCATATTACAGAGGAGATGGTCCCACGTTGGAAGTTTTAAAATGTATAAAAGATGAATAAATCCCTGGGACCTGATCAGGTGTGCCCTAGAGCTCTGAGGGAAGCTAGCATAGTGATTGCTGGGCCCCTTGCTGAGATATTTGTAGCATCGATAGCCACAAATGTGGTGCCAGAAGACTGAAGGTTGGCTAACGTGATGCCACTATTTACGAAAGATGGTAAGGAAAAGCCAGGGAACTATAGACCGGTGAACCTGACATCAGTGGTGGGCAAGTTGTCCTGAAGGACAGGATTTACATGTATTTGGAAAGGCAAGGACTGATTAGGGATAGACAACATTGCTTTGTACGTGGGAAATAATGTCTCACTAACTTGACTGAGTTTTTCGAAGTAGTAACAAAGAGGATTGATGAGGGCAGAGCTGTGGACATGATCTAAATGGACTTCAGTAGGCATTTGACAAGGTTCCTTGTGCTAAACTGGTTAGCAACATTAGCTCACACGGAAAAGAGGGAGAACTAGCTATTTTGGTACAGACCTGGCTTGAAGGTAAAAGACAGAGTATCGAGGCCTGTGACCAGCGGTGTGCCACAAGGGTCAGTGCTGGGTCCACTGCCTTTCGTCATTTATATGAATGATTTGGATGTGAATACAGGGTGTACAGTAAGTAAGTTTGCAGATGTCACCAAAATTGGAGGTGTAGTGTACAGCAAAGAATACAACAGGATCTTGATCGGATGGGCCAACAGACTGAGGACTGGCAGATGGAGTTTAATTTAGATAAATGTGGAGTGCTGCATTTTCAAAAGACAAATCAGGGCAGACCTTGTACACTTAATGGTAAGGTCCTGGGGAGCGTTGCTGAACAAAGACCTTGGAGTGCAGGTGCATAATTCCTCCAAATTGGAGTCGTGGGTAGATAGCACAGTAAAGGCGGCGTTTGGTATGCTTGCCTTTACTGGTCAGAGCATCGGGTATAGGAGTTCGGAGGTCATATTGTAGCTGTACAGGAGATTGGTTAAGCCACTATTGGAATACTGTGTGCATTTCTGGTCTAGAAATGATATTGTGAAACTTGAAAGGGTTCAGAAAAGGTTTACAAGGATGTTGCCAGAATTGGAGGGTTTGAGCGAGAGGGAGAAGCTGAATAGACTGGGGCTATTTTTTCTGGGGCATCAGAGGCTGTGGGGTGACCTTATAAGAGGTTTATAAAATCATGAGGGGCATGAATAGGGTAAATAGACAAGGCCTTTTCCCTGGGGTGGGGGAGTCCAAAAACAGAAGGCATAATTTAAGGTGAAAGGGGAAAGATTTAAAAGGGATCTAAGAGGCAACATTTTCACACAGAGGGTGGTGAGTGTATGGAATCAGCTGCCAGTGGAAGTGCTGGAGGCTGGTACAGTTACAACATTTAAAAGGCATCTGGATGGGTGATTGAACAGGAAGGGTTTAGAGGGATATGGGCCAAGTGCTGGCAAATGGCACTAGATTTATTTAAGATGCATGGTTGGCATGGACGAGTTGGGTTGAAAGTTCTGTTTCCATGCTGTATATCTCTATTACTCTAAATCCCTTACAATCAGAAACAGGGGAAGTCACAATGTGGAATAAAGACTTGGCAGACCAATTATCTGCATATTTTGGTTCTGTCATCACAAAAGGATACAGAAATAATATCCCTAAAATGCTGGGGAACACACGAGAGGGAGGAACTGAAGGAAATCGGTATTAGTAGGGAAATGGTGATGGAATTAAAGACCAACAAATCTTAGTACCTGGTAATCTACACCCCAGAGTACTCAGCAAAGTGGCCCAAGGTAGGATATATTCTGAAACTAGGGGCTTGAATCTAAATCGAGGAAATTGATGGTCATCTTTCAAGATTCTACAGACTCTGGAACAATTCCTATGGATTGGAGAGGAGCTAATGTATCCACACTATTTAAAAAAGCAAGTAGACAGAAAACAGGGAATTATATACCAGTTAGCTTAACACTGCAAAACAGTGACAGGACCGGACAGTCAATCAGCATGAATTTATGAAAGGGAAATGAGAAACAAGACTTGTTTGTCCATATACACAAGTTGCTGAAAGGAAGCATGCGGGTGCAGCAGGATGTGAAGAGGCAAATGGTATGGTGGCCTTCATTGTGAGAAAATTTGAGTACAGGTGCAGGGATGTCTTGTTGCAATTGTACAGGATCATGATGAGACCACACCTGGAGTATTGTTTGCAAGTTTGGAATGTGTATCTGACAAAGGATGTTCTGGCTATGGAGACTGTACAAAGATTTACCAGACTGATTCGTGGGATAACAGGACTGACATATGAGGACATAATAGATTGGTTAGGACGAAATTCACTGGAGTTTAGAAGAAATGTGGAAGGATCTCCCAGAAACCAATAAAATTCTAACAGGACTAACAAGGTAGATGCGGGAAGGATGCTCTTAATGACCAGGGAGTCTAGAATCGAAGGGTCACAGATTAAGAATATGAGGTAGGCCGTTTAGGACTGAATTGAGGCAAAATTTCTGTAGTCAGAGACTGGTGAGCCTGTGGAATTCACGGCCTCAGCAAGCAGTTCAGGCCAAAACATTGGATGTTTCCAAGAAGACAGATATAGTTCTGACGACTAAAAGGATCAAAAGTAGGAAGGGGCTAAGTAGCATGATCAGCCATGATCATACTGAATAGTGGAGCAGAATCGAACGCTACAATGACTTATTCCTGCTTTGATTTTGTACGTTTCTATTCTGTTAAAGGTGGGATATAAAGACAAAATGATTGTAACTGACACAGATGTCAGCACTACTTCATCACTGGATGAAAGTCCTGTAACTCCTTACCGAACACTAATCTGGCAGCAGCTTCACCACATGGACTGCAGCAGTTCAAAAAGGTTAAAGATGTGCAGTGATTTTGGAAGCTTCTGGACTGGCTGTTCTGTCTCTTGTTTTCTATACAGTTCTCAAATTGCTCAACGTTCTGAGAAAAGCAGCACAGTGTGTAGGAAATACGAAAATATCTTTGGAAATTTGCTGATACTGAGGGAAAGGGAGGAGTGGGATGGGAGCGAGGTGAAGGGGAACAGCGAGAGAAACAATGAGCCAGGTTTTCATGGTGGGGTGGCAGACAAAGAACGACCCTAATTTCCAAACCCTTCCCACCTTGCTCCATTCTCTCAGCAGTGAGGAAAAAAAAAATGGGCCAGCGATTTGTGGTGGGGGCTCAGGTGAAGAATGGTCCCAATTTCCAAACTCCCCACCCCACTCAGTTCTCTTCCCTCCATTGTCTCAGCCTCTTTCACATTGTCATTGAACTGGCTGCCAAAGGTGTGCATGTGGACACTTTTGCATCAATCTCTGTCACTGGCACCTGCACAAGCAGCTCCCAACAGCATACTACACATACTCCTCGGTGGACACAGTATTGATTTAACCCAAGAACCTTTATTTCCAGCCCCATTCACACCAAAGACAGATAAACAAACAGTTAAGTGATAAATTAAAAAGTTCAAAAAAAAAACTGACCAGATTACTTAATCAGTTTCCATGATGCATCGTTTCACAGATACATAGGATTGTCAAATCTCCACGCTGTAGCATTTACAGCCAAACTAATTTTCTCACAAAGCCCCAGTTCAAAAAGCTGCAGCCCTTCCTTCTGCTTGATTATGTCCTCTCCAAGATTTGCTGGCACCAGTTCCCAGATACTGACCTCATTTATGGCCAAAAGAGTCTACTGAATTTTGATCAGGAATCAACTTGCAATTCACTTCCAGGCTTGGCCTCAAAAACAACAGCTTCTTCATAATTTTTAAAACAAGTTGCTGCTCACAGTCCAAAGCTTACCGTTCAGCTCTCACATTCAATTCAAAAATGATTCTATTAAAAAAATCAGTGAGGATTCTAACACAGTCTACAATGGAATGACCTTTAACCAGTGACACAGATTGAGTGAGGGGCAAATTGATCTTACTGAAGCAAATCAGATTCTGAAGGGGCTTGACATGGTAATTGCCGAGAGGATGTTCCCTCTCACTGGAGAATCTAGGATGAGAAAGCACAGTCTAGAATAAAGGCGCCAACTTGAAGCTGAAGTGAGGAGGATTTTCTTCTGAGGGTTGAGAATCTTTGGAACTTCTTGCCAGGCAAAGTCATTGTGTATATTTAAGGCTGAGATAGATTCTTGATCAGTTGGGGAATCAGGGGTTATGGGCAAAATACCAGAAAATGGATACGAGGAATGTCAGATCAGCCACAATCCAGTTGAATGGTGGAACACACTTGAGGGACCAAATGGTCTACTCCTGTTCATATTACATATGGTCTTACAGTAGACTGTTGAAAGAAGTGTACGACAGCCTCAGTGACAGTGTTCCAGTGAACTGACTGTTGAAAGAGCTGTTTCATAGACTGAAATAAAATCACACTGCATACCATCGAGAGAAACTACATGAATGTTCTGTCCACTGAATTAAAATATATCTGATCATTCAGCCAGGAGAGACAGAGACCCTTACACTATGGAGTTCCTGTGGAAATATCTGAACAGTGACAGGGATACAGTTGCCTGAGATGGCCACCCAATACTGCAGTCACAGCGGGGGCGACCCATTCCCCTGCTCCATGTGCAGGAAAGATTCAGTCAGATATCCAGCTGCTGAGGCACCTGTAAGTTTACGGGGGGGGGTTTTAAACAGGAGTTGGATTCTGGTGGGATTTTATCTGCTTTTTATTATATCCAGCTTCATATTGCACTTTTACCGCAGTAACCCTTCCCACCAGCAGTAATTAAACAAAAACAGCAGATCCCCCAGGTGGGGACATTGGGTCAGATGGGGTTTGGTGGGGTGGTGGGAAAAGAGGTTACACAGCCCCACCCACTCACCGTTACATCACTGCGCCTGCGCACTCCCCCTAACGCTGAACCGTTGACCGCAGCCTGTTTCTAGGACGGAGTCTGAGGCTCTCTGCGGCCTAAATCGAGGCACCGGAAAACCCATGTTTGGAACTTGCACCTAATTTGGGCCATCATGAAACCTTCTTGCTGGACGCTGCTCTCCTCTTTTTCTTTTACTCACCGCCTTTAGAAATGAGACACGAACATTTCTTTCCAGACATCACTCACGGCACGCATGCTCACAATAACAATTAACTGTGCGCTTGCCCTAGCACCACGTGCCAGTCTTGGTTGATGACGTTCTTGACCGATTGCAACCAAGGGGCGGGGCTGGAGGACCGTGCTGGTCCGGCTGGTCGTCCAGCCAATCAGAGAGAATGAGGGACAACAAGGTGCAGGGCTGGATGAACACAGCAGGCCAAGCAGCATCATAGGAGCAGAGAGGCTGACGTTTCGGGCCTAGACCCTTCATCAGAAAAGGGGGAGGGGGGTTCCGAAATAAATAGGGAGAGAGTGGGAGGGGGATAGAGGAGAGGAAACAAACAGGTCGAAGAGGCGGGGATGGAGCCAGTAAAGGTGAGTGTAGGTAGGGAGTTAGGAAGGGGATAGGTCAGTCCAGGGAGGACGGACAGGTCAAGGGGGCGGGATGAGGTTAGTCGGTAGGAGATGGAGGTGCGGCTTGAGGTGGGAGGAGGGGATAGGTGGGAGGAAGAACAGGTTAGGGAGGCAGGGATGAGCTGGACTGGTTTTGGGATGCGGTAGGGGGAGGGGAGATTTTGAAACTTGTGAAATCCACATTGATACCATTAGGCTGCAGGGTTCCCAAGCAGAATATGAGTTGCTGTTCATGCAACCTTCGGGTGGCATCGTTGTGGCACTGCAGGAGGCCCAGGATGGACATGTCGTCTGAGGAATGGGAGGGGGAATTGAAATGGTTTGCGACTGGGAGGTGCAGTTGTTTATTGCGAACCAAGCGTAGGTGTTCTGCAAAGCGGTCCCCGAGCCTCCGCTTGGTTTCCCCGATGTAGAGGAAGCAACACCGGGTACAGCGGATGCAGTATACCACATTGGCAGATGTGCAGGTGAACATCTGCTTGATGTGGAAAGTCTTCTTGGGGCCTGGGATGGGGGTGAGGGAGGAGGTATGGGGGCAGGTGTAGCACTTCCTGCGGTTGCAGGGAAAAGTGCCGGGTGTGGTGGAGCTGGAGGGGAGTGTGGAGCAGACAAGGGAGTCACGGAGAGAGTTGTCCCTCCGGAAAGCAGATAAGGGTGGGGAGGGAAAGATGTCTTTGGTGGTGGGGTCGGATTGCAGATGGCGGATGTGTCGGAGGATGATGCGTTGGATCCGGAGGTTGGTGGGGTGGTACGTGAGGACGAGGGGGATTCTTTTTTGGTTCTTATTGTGTGGACGGGGTGTGAGGGATGAGGTGCGGGAGATGTGGGAGACACGGTTGAGGGCGTTCTCGACCACCGAGGGGGGGAAGTTACGGTCCTTGAAAAACGAGGACAACTGAGATGTACGGGAGTGGAATGCCTCATCCTGGGAGCAGATGTGGCGGAGGCGAAGGAATTGGGAATAGGGGATAGCATTTTTGCAGGAAGGTGGGTGGGAGGACGAGTATTCTAGGTAGCTGTGGGAGTCGGTGGGCTTGAAATGAATATCGGTTTCTCAGTGGTTGCCCGATATGGAGACAGAGAGGTCCAGGAAGGGGAGAGAGGTGTTGGAGATGGTCCAGGTAAACTTAAGGTTGGGGTGGAAGGTGTTAGTGAAGTGGATGAACTGTTCGAACTCCTCGTGGGAGCACGAGGCGGCGCCGATACAGTCGTCAATGTAATGGAGGAAGAGGTGGGGTTTAGGGCCGGTGTAGGTACGGAAGAGGGATTGTTCCACGAAACCTACAAAGAGGCAGGCGTAGCTTTGGCCCATGCGGGTACCCATGGCTACCCCCTTTGTAGGAAGTGGGAGGAATTGAAAGAGAAGTTGTTGAGTGTGAGGACGAGTTCGGCTAAGCGGATGAGGGTATCAGTGGAGGGGGACTGGTCGGGCCTGCGGGACATTAAGAAGCGGAGGGCCTTAAGGCCATCTGCATGGGGAATGCAGGTGTAGAGGGACTGGACGTCCATGGTAAAGATGAGGTGTTGGGGACTGGGGAATTGGAAGTTCTGGAGGAGGTGGAGGGCGTGGGTGGTGTCACGGACATAGGTAGGGAGTTCCTGGACCGGGGGGAGAAAATGGAGTCTAGATAGTTGGAGATCAGTTCGGTGGGGCAGGAGCAGGCGGAGACAATGGGTCGACCAGGGCATTCAGGTTTGTGGATTTTGGGAAGGAGATAGAAGCGGGCAGTGCGAGGTTGGGGAACGATGAGGTTGGAGGCCGTGGATGGGAGGTCACCTGAGGTGATGAGGTTGTGGATGGTTTGGGAGATGATGGTTTGGTGCTCAGGGGTGGGGTCATGATCAAGGGGGCGGTAGGAGGAGGTGTCGGAGAGTTGGCGTCTGGCCTCGGCAATGTAGAGGTCAGTGCGCCATACTACAACTGCGCCTCCCTTGTCCGCTTTGCAGAACACCTACGCTCGGTTCACAATAAACAACTGCACCTCCCAGTCGTGAACCATTTCAACTCCCCTTCCCATTCCTCAGACGACATGTCCATCCTGGGCCTCCTGCAGTGCCACAACGATGCCACCCGAAGGTTGCATGAACAGCAACTCATATTCCGCTTGGGAACCCTGCAGCCCAATGGTATCAATGTGGATTTCACAAGTTTCAAAATCTCCCCTCCCCCTACCGCATCCCAAAACCAGTCCAGCTCATCCCTGCCTCCCTAACCTGTTCTTCCTCCCACCTATCCCCTCCTCCCACCTCAAGCCGCACCTCCATCTCCTACCGACCAACCTCATCCCACCCCCTTGACCTGTCCGTCCTCCGTGGACTGACCTATCCCCTTCCTAACTCCCTACCTACACTCACCTTTACTGGCTCCATGCCCGCCTCTTCGACCTGTTTGTTTCCTCTCCTCTATCCCTCTTCTATCCGCCTTCCACTCTCTCCCTATTTATTTCGGAACCCCCTTCCCCTCCCCCTTTTCTGATGAAGGGTCTAGGCCCAAAACGTCAGCCTCTCTGCTCCTGTGATGCTGCTTGGCCTGCTGTGTTCGTCCAGCCCTGCACCTTGTCTCGGATTCTCCAGCATCTGCAGTTCCTACTATCTCGGAGAGAATGAGGGGCGGGGCGAACACCCTGACCAATTAGGAAGTGTGGGTGACTGGTGCTCCAACCTATCGATGCCAGGTTTATTTAAAATCCCACGTGTGAACTCCACTTGACGATGGTGCAGCGCTCTTGATAGCTTGTAATTTTTAACAGGCCTATTGGACTATAACCTGGTGTCCTGTGATTTGTGTCTTTGACCACACCAGAACCCAAAACACCTCTCGCTTTACCCCAATGATACCTGGACTCAAGGGTTATATTATGAGCGCAGGTTGCAGAAATCAGTCTGAGATTCATTATGGCACAGAAAGAAGTAATTTAGCCATATTTCATCAATGCCAACTTTCTGTCTTGAAACACAGCCTCTCTGATTCCCCTGCTGTCTCCCCAAAGTTGCGCAAGTTTATTTCCCTTAAATGTTTATCTAATTTCCTTATTCAAGTCATTGATTCTCTTCGTTTCCACCGATAAGCAGAAAGGACTACTAATCACACTGGGGGGAAAAAAAGAGCTTTATTCTCCCTGTATTTGCTGTTGCTGGAATAACTCAGTTGGGACTACTTTAGCCTGAAGATGTAAAGGTTCCTGGTTCTATTCTAGGTTTCACCAGTCAATTTTTGGCAGCATTATGTCTCAGTGGTTTGCATTGCTGCCTCACAGCACCAGGAACCCATGTTTGATTCCAGCCTCGGGCGAATGTCTGTGTGGAGTTTGAACGTTCTCATTTTGACTGCATGGGTTTCTTCCCATGGTCCAAAGATGGGCAGGTTAGGTTGATTGGACATGCTAAAAAATTGCTCCATTTGGTCGAGGGATGTGCATGTTAGGTGGGTGGGTGGAAGAGTCTGGATGGTATGCTCTTCAGAAGGTCGTTGCTGACTCTATGAGCTGAACGGCTTCTTTCTGCACTGTAGGGATTCTAGGATTCTCTCACTAGTCCATCTTTAAGTTGGTTGGGCTTAATACAGTACCCAACGTTTTACAACTTACATAAAACACTCACCTGAAGAGATTGAAAGCAGGATAGTTAAGGATGAATAGAAAACTATGCTGTGATGAAGACATGACAATGCAGGCAGATGTAGATAGATTTAGTGTATGGGCGAACTAGCTTGCAGATGGGGTATGATGTAGGAAAATGGAAAGTCACTTGCTTTAGCAGGAAGAGTAAATAAGAGCAGAATTTTCCCTAAATGGGGAATGACTGCAGAATTCTGAGGTGCAGAGGGATTTAAAGTTATAAAAGGTATGAGTCACAAAGTTAGTATGCGGATTTGACATGTAAACAAGAAACCTAATTGGCTGCCTGCTTTATTATTAGGAGCAACTGAGCAACTCAGAGACAGTAAGAACTGCCGATGCTGGAATCAGAGATAACACAGTGTGGAGCTGGAGGAGCACAGTGGGCCAGGCAACATCAGAGGACTGGGAAAGTTGACATTTCTTTGGAAGGGTCCCGACCTGAAATGTCAATTTTCCTGCTCCTCTGATGCTGCCTGGCCCACTGTGTTCCTCCAGTTCCACACTGAGTTATCTATAAATGTAAGGAAGTTCTGCTTCATTTGTGCAGGGAATTGCTGAGATCACATTTCAGTTACTGTGTGCAGATGTGGTCTTCTTCTGTAAATATACTGGCAGTGATTCAGAGGCGGTTTAGGAGATTGATCCTACCTTTTCTCCCTGATCCAGTCCCTGCCCAGCTGCATCTTGATTCCTTGAGGCTTTATGCCAGTTTCAGAATTCCCAGTTTGCAGACTTAAGCTGCCTCCTCTTTACCATGGATGTGCAATCCCTTTACATGTCCATCCCCACCAGGATGGTCTCAGGGCTCTCCACTTATTCCTGGAGCAAAGGCCTGAACAGTCTCAACCCACCACAACCTTCGTCCACTTATCCGAGCACGTCCTCACCCTCAGCAAACTCTCTTTTAACTCCTCTCAATTTCTTCAGGTCAGAGGGGTAGCCATGCGTGCCCACATGGGTCTCAGTTATGCCTGTCTCTTCGTGGGGT